CCTACACGGTGGGCACATTCAGCTGTTCACAAGTGGGTCACTGGTGGCACAGGTTTGACTCTACTATCTGGTACCCTCCTCCAGGACAAAATGCAAAGCGGCTTTGAGATAAGCTCAGGAATAAACCTCCTTTAACATCTTCTCTGCATGCACATATGCATTTAAATGCATGCTAAGGCCAGGGTATTTGAAGGAGGTAGAACACTGAACCTTAAATTAAGGTTTTATTATTAAACAAGAAAAATAAAAGTGTCTCACTCTTTAAGCCTAGCAAGCTCTTCCAGCAGAAAGGCACGAAAACGCCAGTGCAGACACCAGAGATCAGAAGTCTCACATATGACTGCTGACTCCTCTGATTTCTGCAATGACCCCAGATTAACAGGAACAACCACTTGCAAAGTTAAGGGAGGACTGAATGTCTCAAAAGGCTAATAGGAATGGTCAGGAAAGAAGGCAAGAACATATCTCCGTGCCGAATGCCTTCCGCTCCTTCCCTCAAGGCTGGTGAGGAGAAGAGCACAGCATATTTTCTGAGGATTACCTCAAATTTAAGGATAGCTTGGCAGCTTGTGTTCAAATAGCCCGATTCTAACCCTGACGACACCAATTTCCCCCAGAGTGACTGCATCAAACTCAAGAATGTTACTCCAGATTTACACCAGTGTGAACGAACTGAAAAGCGGGTTCTGAGCTTTTTAATTCAAAAGAAGGCATGTGGCAGGAGAGCAGATGTTCCAAAGGGAACCTGCAAATCCCCCAAATCAGAATTATTTGCATCCCAATCAATGTTTCTGCAGCCCTTTTCTAATGCCTTCATTCCAGGGAACAATAATTTTGCTTCAGCCTCCTGTTCTTCCTTCCCCTACACACGCTTCTGAAACGAACTAGAGGCCAAATTCTGCACTGACTCATGTTCCCTGCAAAACCTGATGATTTCACACACAGCCTACAAAAAGCTCAAATCAGGGAAGGGAGTCACTCCCAAAGCCTCTGATGCAGTCTTTCCTGCCTTTCCTGGCTTCGACTCATGATCTGCTTGTACCACACTTTTAATACACAGCAAGGGAAGGAGGATGGGAAGCATACTTGGTTCCTAAAGGAGAGGTGTCGGACAGGGTCCTCAGCTGCCAGGGAGATGCTGCTGAGCAAGATGAAAAATAGGATCAGGTTGGTGAAAATGTTATCGTTAACGATTCGATGGCAGTGGACACGAAACCTGCAAGAGAGAGGAGAGGCACAACTTTATCTCTCAGAGAACAGCAAGCCCTGGGAACCATTCCCCCCTCCTCTTTTGCCAGCAGGACTGGCCCTGGAGGATTGTTCTGTAGAGCAACTTCCATCTGCCCCAGCAGCAGGGAGAAGGACGGGCCCAGGAAGCTGTGCTTGGCCCTGCTGGGTGCTGGGCAGCCTTGGCTCTCCACGTCATGCAGCGATGCACATGGAGCGATCGGCTGCCTGCAGGACGCACGCTTGGTTGATGGGTTTGCATGGAGAACAGTTGCTCCCTCCTGACAGAGCCTTTTTGTGATTTAGATGTGGTCTGAAACCTGCCAACCCACAATTATATCCCTTGCTTTCGCTCACAGAACCATCCCCCATTCGTTTGGGAGAACGGAGGAGAAACAGGCTTTGGGGTGGCCAACCTCTTTCTGAGCTGTGGCTGGAGTGTCACTGAGCAGGGACTATGGGGGATCTACCTTTCTAACAGGGCACAGATGTGGCCAAATGGATATAGGGCAGGCTAGCATTTACAAAGGCTTCTGGGAGGACATCCTGCCATGCAGGGCATCTGCTAAACATCACTGTAATATAAAGTGCTTGGTGCTCTTTGTGGGAAAATAGTAAGTAAAGAAGTAGCAGTCTCCCATCAAACACCAACCTCCTTACTGGAGACCATTATAGCACCTCCCATACCTTGGTATCAGGATATGAGGAGTTAAACCTCGTAACAGTCCAATGCACAATTCTAGAGGCACTTCATTAATCTATTTAGCTCTACTTTTGGCTGTTAAGCCTCCAAGTCCCTATTATAGCAATTTTACAGATGATTGCAGAGGTTAATTTATTTCTTTGGCAGCAACAGTGGGTGGGTGGCAAAGCTGGCATTAGAGTCCATGAGTCTCAATCATCTTCAGTCCCTCCCTGTTGCACATACCCAAGGAGGAGTGGCACAAGCCCTGCTGTGGAAAGACTGGCTCTGAATTCAGCTGTGCTTTTATAGCCCTGCCTTACTTCGGGCTGTGTTTGGAGGCCAAGTCCTCGAGGGAGATGTTAAGATACATGGTACTGCACAAATCACTGGGCAGTGAGCTCATTTCTGCACCCTTGGCAATGTATATTCCCTTGTTTCATAGCTCAGTCATCCACTCACAGCACTGGTCTCACACACCCCTGTTGGAAAGACAGGTGGGGCAATGTGAACCCACATTGCAGGAGCCCAAGGAAAGAACGGGAGAGAAGAATTATTTTTCTCAGTCTCCCCTTGGAGCTATGGACTCTCATCCTCCTCCCTTTTCTTGTATGATCGATCTTGACGCGTAGGAATGAGCAGAGACACATGAACTCCTTACTGGGAGTGGATTTGGAGCAGCCATTGGGACAGGAAGCTCCTACCTCATGCTTTATTGATTGCTTGATGGCGTGCTTGCAATTTAGACCCGAATATGTTGGGGAATTCCAATTACTGACTTGCCTCCAAGTCCTTTCTTTCCAAAGCTTTCAAGATTTGTGTCTTCAATCAGCCTTGTAGGCATCATGAACTCCCACTGAATATCATCAGAGGGCTCCCTACAGTTGTGCTTTCACGAGGATTTCATACCAGGGTCTTTAAAGGAGAGACTGGTCAAAGGAGGTCTCTGGTAAGAACTGCTGGAAGGAAGCTCTGCACCATATAACCTTTGGGGCCCAGCATGAACGGGGTACCTGCTCTCCGCCTCCTTGTTCCAGCTAAGCAGTCTCTTAAATACCTGTTGTTAGGACTGAAGATGAAAAAAGCACTGGCATCAGGCATGGGCACAGCCTTTTCTTTGAGGTGCAGCTCAGACATCGGGCGAGGTCGAGGGCCGACAGGCATCTCGGGTTCTTCCTCGTCTTCCTCTGCTGTAAGAAGCATTTTTGTCTTTTAGTGAAAAACACAACCCGTTCTGGAATGCTGGGGCATTAGTCTCTGCCATAACTAGAGTTAAAAACTAAGAATTATTGAAATAGGATGGTGAACGCTTGAGGTTTCTTGTTCACTTCCTTCCTCCGAGGAAGCATCCACTGCCCAGTGCTTGCCCTGGCAGACATTGATCCAGTCTCTCTGTGAAACCATCGACAATGGTAAACCCACAATATCCTCACAACAGTCTCCTCAGATGCTTCACTGTCTCTTCCACAAAAACAGCTTCTTCTAATGACTGACAAATCTTTCTCACTATGGTCTAAATCCATTATCTATTTTCTTATTTTCCATGGACACAGAAAATAGAGAATTCCTTTCCTCTTGCAGAAGGCTTTGACATACTTGAGGACTATTATTATGCTTCTGTGAGGATTTCTGGTTCCTAGAGAAAAAAAAACAACAGTCCTTCCTGAGGTGCTTTGTTCCCTAGGTCTCTCATCGTTCTTGCTACTTTCCTCCAGATTATCTGCAGGATTAACCTGCAGCTGAGGTTTTACTGGCGCAGAGGAGAGCTTATAATTCCATCTTCCTATTCAAATTTCTTTCACAGGCACTTCTTTTCATTACACCCTGGCATTAATTTGCCATCAGTTTCTGATTTGCACAAAATACAGATTATTCACCTCAGAACGGCTGCCTCGCCTGTCACTGCTCCCTCTGCGTTTGTGCTGCTGACTATTCCCAAGAGTGGTACTTCAACCTCATCCTTATCAAGCTGCATCTTATGTTCTTCGGACTGTTCCTCCAGTTTATCAAGATCTGTTTTTCTCCTCTTTGTAAGGCTCTCCATGGAGCCACTGCCACATCCAGGATTGTGTCTGGATGAGCGTATGTATGCCCCAGGGCAAACATGGAGCATGGGCACTTTGACTTACATCAATCAGAAATGCTTAAAATTGTCCCCTTTCGTAATTCAGTGGGGGCAACACAGAAAAGGCAGGAACAAGGCTGAGACTCTTGAACCTGATGCCTGTGGAGCAGATGTCCAGGCATTGTGCAGATCAGTGAGCACCCTCAAGAAAAAAAAAAATTAATGCAGAGATGGGGGCTAAGTGGTGCGTGAAAGAGAACCTTCCACCTTGGAGGATTTCTTTCACCTGCTGAAGTCAGATGCTGTTTTGTAAACGACACGATAGGATTTTGCTATTTTAAAGACCCCAATACTCTCACTTAATCAGCAATACAGGAAAAAATATTTTCAGAGAGGAGCCCGACGGGTTAAACGCAACTGATTCATCTTCCAGCCAATGCAAGGGAGGAAACTATAGTTAAAAGGTTTATCTTGAGTCCATAAAGGGAGATAAATTCCAGGAAGAGCCTGTTCCTTTAGGGTCAGGTGCTGTACTTGAGCTGGTAATGGACACATCACAAAGAACAGATGAATCAGCACAGATCCTAATCCGGATGTGGAAGACAGGAGAAAAGTGGCCTTTTCAAAGCATGCCATTATCATATGCAGATAGGAGTCTTTCCTTACACTTCCAGTAGCAAGAGTTCAGCTCAAATTCACTTGATAGATTTTTGCATAAATGTTTGAGCTGGTACATCGAGTTTGTACTTTTTAAGCTGGTCTATTTTTTAACAACTCTATTTTATGTTGTAATATACTTTATAATACTCTTTCTACAGGCTGTATCAGTTAAAGAAACATTCTTTCAGAAGTACTTTTGTGCATAGCACTTGTGAAATTGGTGTTAATGTTAATGCTCATACTTATATAATATTACAGTACTTTGCACTTGCACCTTTTAACTACAGGTTTCAAAGTGGGCTGACAAAGAGCAAGGTAAACAAATTCTTTTTCTTCTTTAGCAGTCTAAAACACCAATGCCCATGATCACGTTAGATATTTGAGAATCTTACTTAAAAAGACTAGTATTCCCAGTCCCTGTTCTGCGCCTTCACTATTAGATCATTCTTCTTCTTTTACTCAGAGGAATGCTTAAAAAACCACTTTTAAGTGGGTATGGAATAACACCTCAGGAAAATGGACTCTTACTAAAAGGATCAGACCCATGAAGACCATAAAGAACATCATTCCTTTCCTCTTTTCTTGTGGCTGCCACACAGCAAGAAATATATTAATGATTCTGGCAACCACATACCTTCAGACTGGAAAACACGTTCAGTTCCTCAGTCATAGACAAAGAATAAAGTTCTAAACATTTTTCATTTAAAGTAGGGTCTAGGACACAGAAGAAAGGAAACACTGAGGCCCAAATACACAAAGAATAACATGATTACAGTCTCAGCTTGGGTCACTACCTAAGCTATCTACCCTGGAAGTGTTCAAGGCCAGGTTGGATGAGGCTTTGAGCAACCTGGTGTAGTGGAGGGTTTCCCTGCCCATGGCAGGGGGGTTGGAACTAGATGATCTTTGAGGTCCCTTCCAACTCTAACCAGTCTATGATTCTATCTGCATATAGTAACAGTAAGTTGCACAGTTGCCAGCATTCATGGAAGCAAAGGTCAACATGGTATTCACAGCTGGGCTGGGCAGCACATCAGCTGCAGTCCAACACTCGTTCTTTGACTGTTTTCTACACAAGGTATATTTGTGTTTAAAAAGTGATCCTTCTAGTCAAGCTTGCCACAAAATCATAAAGAAACAAGACTCAGAGCTGCAAAGTTCAGATCTAGTTTTGAGCTCTCCTAAAGTTCAAGGAAATTCAAATCTGCGACTGTCATCTTGAATAACGCTTCATTAAAGTGGTGATGTCCTTTGGTTGTGGAGCCATAAGCACACATAGGCTACAGTGCAGCATCAGTGTCAAATTTGATGATGAGGATTTTTTTTTTTTTTCCCACTGTACAAAGACCAGAACTCTTGTGCAAGGACATCGCTTTGCTTCAAGCTCCCATGAATCATCCCAAGGTTTTACCTTCATCTGACGTTCTGAATTCTTTGTCTGTTTCTGTACTAGACTGCAAGACTAGCTCCCTGTCTTCCTATAATAAACATATCATCATCATAATCCTTCTAGTGTACACAAATCTCTGGAAGAACTAGTCTCTGCCTCCAACAAAGGGGATAGGTGCTCTGATGAGCTGCAAGTACACAGACTATTCTAGGGGCTAAGAGCAACGCTGTGTAGCAAACAGAGTCAGAAGAGGTTACTGAGAAAACTGGTTGAGGCAGTGGAAACAGATAGGAGACTGAACAAAGTAGGTTGAAAGAATAAAGCAAAAAACAAATGAAGTGACCATTTCAAATTGTTTCTGAACACTGGGTTAGGGTGAAGGATGTTTTCAAAGGATAGAATGGAACACACCCATGGAAAGGTCACAGGCATTAACATCTTAAATAATGAACAGAAAACAGGTAGAACCAGCTGACTCCATCTAAGAAGCAATAGGATGCTTCACTCAAAGCCCAGCTGAAAGGGATCCATACGCAAGTGGGCAAGAAAAGGTATGTTCCTGGATGGGCCATGTATGGCTGCACAGCATCTCCTGCAGCACAGCTGGACTGAGCAGTAATCAGCAGGATTCTGAACTGGTCAGATGGCTATGGGGGAACTGGATGGGGGTACATGCAGGGACTGGGAAATTCTTGCTTGCTAATGTTGGGGAAAGCCTTGGAGCCTTGTTCCCCAGAACCGACTACACAAGGCAGATGTGACATGCCACATCAGCTCTGGAGAGGACCTTGGTGTTGGAGCAGAATGGAATAGTTGACTATGGTAAATCTGATCTAACAAGGGATTTACAAACTTTACTGTATCTGAGCCTTACGCTTGACTTCCATGAGCTCTGAAAGAAGTGGTCAGGTAATTTCGTGAGCTGTTAGAGATCATTTTCAGCAAAAAGCTAAGATTTTCAAAGGGTTGGAAAAGAGAAATATTAACTTCACTCTTCACAAAGACTTGATAAAAAATTCAGGGAACAGGCCTGCTTAGAAACAGCATTATACAGTGGCAAAAACCCAAGATGCTGTCCCTTTGCATTTCCAATACTTTAGGAGACAGATGAAAACCTGATCACCCACTCAAACGTTAGGTTCTGTTCAAAAGTATGCCAAGCCAGGCTTGGCACCCCAAGGCAGGTGTTAAAAGTTTTGACTCTGTTTTCTGCCCTCTAATCCTATACATGGTTGCAGATAAAATGTCCATGACACAAATTGTAGCTGTAGCTTTTTTGTCATATAGTTCACATGCTGGACTATTTCTGTCAGCAGAAGGTAACTGAAACACGGTTCTATTACAGGTGGCTGTACCTTCACTTGAAAAAAATGTAATTGTCTGCAAAACCAAGCCACCTGAGAAACAGAACTGCATCAAACTGCTCTAATCTGTGCTTCTGACTGAAGACTCCTCCAAACCCCTTAGCAACTGGGGATGGGTGTCCAGTAAATGCCTGTGCCTACAGAGGTGCTGGGAAGATTGAAGCCAAAGTGATCTGCCCCAGGCAATGTTAAAACAGTATTGCAAGGTGTTGGAATCACACTCTATTACTGATAAATGGGCTATAAATATGGATGGATACAAGTACAGCGAATGCGGGGATTTTTTGTACTGAAAATCGAATGCAGTGAACAGTTTGCATTTTTGCTTGTCCAAAATCCTTGTTCATCTCTTTAAAACGAACTATTGGGTCTTTTTTCACCTGGTCACATCAACCCATTATCAGACATTTGGTAGGAACCATGGAATAGAAGAGAATGTGTTTTATTACCTATTACAGCCTGTTACATAATCATGGAAATGCAGAAGGGCAGAGCAGGAAAGGATCACACAGGGCCCTCTGGTTCATACCTCTGCAAAGCCAGAATCAGCTAATTATTATATCTAAGTCTTTCCTGGCAGATATTTTTCTGACTTGTTCTCAACAGTGTTCAGTGATGGTGGGGTTCCACAACCATCTTCATAATCTTTTCCAGTCTGAACTGGAAATTAGAAAATTACCTGCTTGTGTGAATCTTAAATCCATTACTTCTTCATAATGGAGATGATTCCCCTCCTAACTGTAAGAGCCTTTTATGCATTTGAAGATGTTGCTCCTGCCTTTCCTAGCTCAAATGACCACAATTCTTTCAATCTTAGCTCTTGCTTCCTACTAGTATTGTTTTCACCATGCTCTCTTCTACACTCCTTCCAATTCAACCCCACTTCTCCTAAGCAGAGCACCCAAAACGAGATAAAATATCCCAGCTGAGATCTTATCAATGGTGAACAGAATAAAACAATTGCTTTGCTCTGGTTAGCTTTCAATGGCCAGTTAGAAGAAACCCATAAGTGGACTAAAGGGTCATGTTTTCACTGCTGATAAATCTCACTACTTGCTTGCCTTTTGAAAGACAGCAAAAAAGTTGGGAATCTGTTGAGCTTGTGGTCACAAGATTCAGATTCTTTTCCTCAAGGACTGTTACCTAACTAGCTGTCACCTAAAGTCCTTTATTTGTGAGTTGTTTATACCTGTCTATGTGTAGAGCCTGGCGCTGTCAATTTTATTTAGACCATTTATCCAGTTTCTCAAGAGCTCTTTGAATTCTAATGCTGTCCTCCAGCATGTTTCCTGTCCTTCCTAGCTTTCTGTCATCTGCAAATGTAATAAGCATATTTCCTTTTCCATCATCCAGATCATTAACAATGAACTGAACTGAACTCGGGACAGGCCCTTGGGTCATCACTACTCCCCACATAAAGCGTCTGACCAATTTCTCTCCCCATCATCTAGACCATGTTTTTCTAGTTGACTTCTGAGAATAAGAGACAGTCAGAAGCCTTAACAAAGCTAAAGAATGACATCTACTTCTTTGCTCCTGTCTACAAGTCTTGTCAGCCCCTTTTGGAAGAAAGTAAGGGTGGTTTGACATGATTTGTTCTTGGCAAATCTACGTTGGCTGCTAGTCATCTCCTTATCTTGCAGTCATATAGTTTGTTTAATCATTTGTTCCAGCACTTTTCCAAGAATGGAAGTTGAACCAACTAGCTTATAATTCTTCTGCTCCTACCTCACCCCCCATCAGCCTTCAAGATCTCTTGAAGAAAAAAAGTCCTGAGATTTCTTCAATCAATCTTTTAAGTATCTGAGGATGAAGTGAATTTGGTCCAACTGACTTGAAAACTAGCCTAACTAATGCTCTAGCTTGTTTCTTTCCAATTCTAGGCTGAGAAATTATGCCTTTAGAATTATATTAATAAGTCAACCTGTCTTTTTTGATTAAAAAAAAGTGCAAAAAGGTGTTCAGCACTTTGCTTTTCATGAGTATCTCTTGTGGGTCTCCCCTGATCACTGAAAAAATAGACTGAAAACAAAGTCATTTGTGTTTCATACACAGAGATTTGCATGTTATTTGATTTGGTTCCCTGAAAATTTCTGTAATTTGAAATATAGACCTTTACAGAAAATCAAATCAAATACGACTAATCAGTATAAGGCCTGCAAAGGACCGAGTTCACATCTGGGCAAACACAGGCAAGCACATCATCCTGTCCCGTCGTGAAGGCATTACACGTTCAGCAAACCTGCTGCCACAATTTGGCTTTATATGCATTAGCAGCTAGAGCTTCTCTTTGTTGAATCAGGGCTACAACGAAGAAGATTTATACCTGGTGCTTCTGTTGTGGGATATGGGCTCTTCTCTTCGTTTTCATTGGGCTGATAATCATCCACGTTGATCTGACAGAAATGGAAGGAGAAGAGGCAAAGCCTTTATCAGACAAGGCAGAGGGTTTTTATTCCCTGAGAAACCCAAGCTGTCCATGCCATCTGCACAGAGAGGGCTGGCTGGCAGCAGACCTTACCTTAGTAGCAGGTGGGGATTCTCCATCAGCAGTGATTGATTTCAGCTCAATTTTCTCCTCCTTTGTCTCCTCCTCCACAGCTGTTTTCTCTATCTCCTGTTTCTTTTCGGGACTAGCAGTCCTAACAATTTTATGAGATAAAAAGCAAAGAGTTACAAAGGTGAAAAGCTGTCTCCCTTTCAGGAACTTCATGTAGTACAGCACACACCCTGAGAACGATCAGCTGGCTGGCACCTCCATTCTGAGCCCAGCTTATAAACCAGCGGCTCCACCTTGTCCTCATCTGCAGGCAAAGGCAGAGACTCTGCTCTAATTCCATATAGAATCCTTTTATTTTATAACTTTCTCCATGGCTTGTGTTTGTGTGTGGGGGGGTGTGCATGCACATATGGGGGAAATACGTGCCTGTGTGTTTGTGCACACGCATATTCTAGGTCTGTCAGTTGAGAGCTCTTCATTAAGCTGATGGCAAAGGCATGGACCATTGTGAAACCATATCTTGTGAACTTTCACTGGGTTGCCTACAAAATTTTGCCCCTCGCTGCACTCCCAGAACCAGGGAAACCTACTGACTGGCATGCAGGATGAGGCAGAAAGATCTGCACAAGAGATCCCCTCCAAGCAGCCTGGAAGATAGTGAATAGAAATAACCAGTAAGGAGAGGCTTCCCCACTGTTGGCAGCTGGGAATGGCAGAGCTCTATATCCAGCTTGTGCCTCCTAAGAGTTTGGAGAAACACTAAAAGAGCTGGCAAGAGAAGAATAGCATGTGGTATCAAAAGAGAAGGAAGCTGCTGAATCTTGCATCATGGGAACAACGGTCTGAAAATATGCTTCTTGGTCCAAAGCAATCAGAAGGTAACAGGGAGACTCCGATGGGATTGTAACATTAACACCATTTCACAGTCATTCTCTGCTGATGCCCTAAAAGCTCATCGGTCACCCAAGACTTCCTTTTCTCTGCTCAAATCATTGCAACTATGGGGACTCCCAGCTCATGGCACCTTCTTGTCCTTTAGTTTGAATTCTTTTTACATAAAAATTTATATATACAAAATTCCATATTTAATTAGATTAATCACATATATATTAGCTGTATACACCCCCAGAGAAGTTGTATGCATCTATCACATATACACACATACCTACTTGCACATATATATGTGCATAACGAGGGTAATTAAACACACAGGAATGCATGCATCAGAGTGTAGGTAGGTGTACACAGATGGATTTACCTAGCCAGCTTTTTCCTTTCTTTTTCCTCTTCCTCCTCTTTCTGTGCAGACGTTAAACTCTCAGCATCAGCAAGGTTGTCCACAGCAATGGCCAAGA